TAATGAAATATGAACATCCAAAATTGAAACAGTCTTTGCGTGAAGTGCCAAAATGTATTAAACAGAGAACCATGAAGGGTATCAAATCACATGAAAGAGCACTGCTTCAATTAAGACAGTTAGGAGAAGAATTTCATAAGACATGTTGTCTTTCATTCTAATCCTGTTTTTTTAAAGAATATTTGAATTGCTTTATGTATATTGTAAATTGTAACATGTATATATATTCTGAGAAATAAAATATGTTTAAACTAATTAAGACAGTTTGTACATTTTGTCGTTTGCTATATGTGATAAAGCCGCGTGCATTTGAGCGTTTGTCTAGTATTAAAATGATAAGATATTACTATACATGAGTAAGGAACAGTTTCAAAGCGAAAATGTTTGTTTCTGTATTGGAAGAGTCTATCAAAACTTAACAGGTTCGTGGTTTTACAATTATGGATTATATATCAGTTTATTTTATAGATAGAAATGACGTTACAATCTTAAGCAAGCACATTGTCTATAACTTGACATTGGTTATAGTTTTCATGAACTATTTGTAACAGGTATGGGTGTATCTTTCTCAACCTTAAAGGAGCTACACTAAGGTCAGAAAGCCTATAAACATAAACTTATATTTTCTTACATAGATCAAGTGAAGTACTCAGAATATCAAAATCTAAATAAAATTGAAACAATTCGGGTCGTTTTGCACAATAAAAATGTTGATTTTTGAAAAACGGGGTGAGGGAATGGTCTGAAAATGTGCACACGTTTATTTTTGTCCATACCTTCATCAAATGGTACATGAAACTATTTCCAATCCCGTCATGTTACAAATTCCGATTTCATTGTCCATATATTATCGCAGCACAAATGTTGTTAAGGGAATAGTTTCGTTTCATGCGATTGATGGAAATTGCTCAAATAGAAATCAAAATAATTTTTTATCTTTTATAGATAACATTTTAGAATTCATAAGAGATTAAACTATACACTTGAAGAGGATTCTTTCAAAATGAAATCTTACAGATATTCACACGAACTATTTTACAGTTAATAAATATGGGATATTCTAACATATGGATTATGAGTCCCTCTATGCTACTAACTTTTCATTATTTGCTAACATTTAAACGAAATGCTAATGGTTTCGAGAGTGAACATTTGACATTTTAAGAATGCATTTCTCTGTTACACAGTAATAGAGTTACAAATTAATTTTCATAATTATAGCTGTTTTAGAGATTTGTATCTAAGTCCGATATCTTAATATACCAGACCAGCGTTTTACATGTAGCATTATGACACTTATTTGGTCAATTGCAAAGTATTGTTGTGTCTTCGTGTATTGTAATTTTGTTTCGAGGTTGATACACATGTTTATCATTTACTTATTAATGAAATATTCAGAAATATTAATGAAATAAAATGCGTATTTTCATTTTCCTTATTTTCACTCTAAAAATTGATTTTTCACGGCAGTGAAACAATTTTCCGTATTTTCATTGGTGTCTTGCCGGACTCATTTTTTATTCTGCAATTACTCAACATTTCAAATTGTATTGTCAATAAAGAGAAAAAATGTATTTAATAAATAGAAAATCTCTAAATACAGGATTTATTTTCATCTTGTGGCATGAATGTGCAGTAATGTGTCGTAAAGAACATATTTATCAGGAACTCCGAACAAGATTTTTAAAGAAATATTACTGGATGTTTCCTAGCATGTTTAAATTTGTTCAGTTGATTACAAGCGATAATGTACATGATATTAGAATTTTATCTATGTTAATATACCATGCATTCCATATTAGACAACAGTTACAAACAATTCTCGTGTAAAGGTACAAAACATTTTTAATTTAAAGTTCAATAAATATGTTTTATGCGAATATCTAGCCCCATGCAAACGTAAATAGAAGTTAATTGACACATTGTATTGTACTTCTATATGTGTAATGTACGAATATTAGCTGTCATGTAATTGTATATAGATGTATTATTGATACATTGCTATTCTTTGTGTATTATATGTATAATAGGTTAAGTAACACGATGATTATAAAGGCTATAAATTTGTAAGTTTCAAATCATACACTGGTCTTACTTGTATCAAGTTTGAAGCATTATATGTGTTCAAAAGTATAGTTTAGAAGTAACATTTGTTTTGATTTGTTTGTATAATTTCAATATTTTGTGCCATATTACTATTGCAATAAATCAAAACCATATTGCTTAGATTTGTTAATGTACTACAAAGACCAGTGTATGGAAGATAATTTAAAGTATACTATGTAAAAGATGCTGACAATGTCTCTCCCGAGATTGCAAGTGTAATACATACACGAAGCATTTCTTATTATTATATATTTGAATGTAGAATCTCTCAAAAGTAAATAACTTGTAAATTAAATATATAATCAATGGTAACCATTAATAATGAAAGAAAAGAAATACTTGCAGTCACGTCATCTTGCTATGTAATTTGTTATTTACTTATGCATACATGCAATTGTATATATTATGAATGCTTGTACATGTACATGACTCTTTTGAGAGTTAATTTGCAAAATAAAGATTCTTCTCTCTTCTCTATGACAGATGAGAAGTTTTTTGAAAACAGTAACAAGATACCAAAAATTTAAAGTCTTTGTGAAGTAAAAATTAACGTATTTCAGGGGCATAAATGACCTTTCAGAACAAAATTATCTCCGAATCTAGCTTTGGCACGTCAACATATTATTACTTGAAAGCTTGCTAGTAGCAACATGTAATTGTATTTATTACGGCGGATAATATGCTTTTATCTCGTTATGCTCTAGTTAGATAAATGGATTTGATAATTGTACGTAATGTGCAGCCATTATCAAGGCTTTAATAGAAATCCTGCCGTAAGATATTCAAATTTCAGTATGTTACAAACGCGACAAAAGGTTAACTTGGAAATGGCAAATATTAGCAGAAATATTAAAATGTACATTTTCTTATTTAGATTTCTTATGGTAGGTTGAAACAAATGAAAGATTATCTTGAACCCAATTCTATACGTCTGTTAATTCCTTTTTTTTAATTTAAAACAATGAAGCATATAACACAATAATTGACATGAATTAGTCGGTTCTAATGGGCGCAAAAGACTTTCACAAATAAATCTATATTTTCTTTGGAATTTTGCAAGTACTTAAAACTAATAAACGGAATGGAGAAAATAATCGTCCATCGTCGTCATATGACATCACCTCTATATTTTGCCTTTTAAACTTGACAAAACTTGTTTGGACGGTTGTTAAAATTGTTCTGAGTTTTGAGTATTTTAGTCAATGACGATTTCAATAAAGTTAAAATATGCAACTGAAATTGGGAAACAAGACTAGCCAGATGTATAGTAATGTACCTTTAAAACACAACCTGGCATATTGCTTTGAAATAATTTTTCCTTGTGTCACAGAGAATACTCTGATACAACTTAATTAATCTTTATCTTTAGTTTTATCTTAAATACAAAAAGCTTGCAGGGTCAGTTTTAACCCCTAACCCCAACCTAGTTTTAACCCCTCCCCCTATCCCATCCTTTAAGTTCTCCATTAGGGTGGCCAGGTTATAAAGGGAGAGATCCCCCATCATCATACTTCATAATCATACTGTATTCAGAGTAATATACTTGCTATCTAAAAGAGGCACTGTTAGCGCCCACGATTGTGAACTTAATATGATGACAAAAAATAGAAACAGACTTAAAGTATGCTATATTGTTAATTACTATATGCAGACTTTTGCGAAGGTCCTAATTATTTATGATAGCATTATAGAATTATTGACTTATTTCAATTAAACATCAGTTCAATGTCTCTGCCAATGTCATTAAAATTAATCAATTATTTAATTCACTTTTATACAAGAAATCAAAATTAGCTTTTTTTTAAATTTTTGGTGAGTCGAGTATGCGTAAATTAAACATACTGACTGCCATGCGCGAGCCTCAATTACTAAATATTAGGACATGCAATAGAAAAGTTGAATGATACGGCTCTGAATATATTCATTCAAAGCGTGGTGATTTCTGAGCTTGTGTACACCCCCTAACTCTAAAAAACAAGCACTACTACAAATATATGCTTTGAAATTTCACATACACTAAAATATTTAATAAGATTTATGCTAATGTAAGAGGAAATATTCAGGTGTTAAACATGTTGTTGTCTGTTGTAGTTTTTTCCCTTTAACCACTAATTTGTGTACATGCATCAGGCAGTTTTAACATTATATTTTGCATAAACAAGGTGACAAAGTTTTTTCACGTTCATTCGTAAACGCAAAAGTTTCTTATACAGTGCACAACCGCAACTGTACCTTTGTATCGCATAGAAAGGACTCACTTCCTCCATTTATTGGAAAACTAGAAAAATAGCATTCCAATATTTCTACAGAATCGATGACGATTATATTTATGATGATGATGATTCTACTGAATATGGCGCTGCTGCTGCTGATGATGATGATGGTGGTAGTGGTGGTAGTGATGTTGGTGATGATGATGATTGTAGTTGTGATGGTTTTGGTGATGATGACGATAATATGGGTGGTGATTGTGATGATAATGAAGTTGTGACGATGTTTATTTTGAAATTAAAGCTTGAAATATTTTTGTATGTGTTTAACTGGTTTTATTTATGCGACGAGAGTGAGTCCTATTGCCATATAAACAGTTAGCACATGAACGAACTCGATCAAGCATGACTTTAGTTATATCTAAAACGCGAACCGATAGTAAAAGCAGCATTATAACTTCAAACACATCAAACTTCATTCGACCTAAAACTTGAATTTTTTCTTGGCTTTTGTATTCTTTTCACATCTATATAATTTACGGACTGGATATCAATTTAAAGATAATTCAACTTTAATACAAAAGTTACAACCGGTGTAAATAGCTCAAAAAGGTTTATTTATAAATATATTCAGATATATTCCATTAGTACAAAAGGAATAGTACGAATGATAACAATAAAAATTGAAATATTATTATAATAAATCACTCACAAGTTGTTAAAAAATGGCACAAAAATTAAAGTAAAGTTAAACACGGTATACATAATATCGTATATGGATTTAAAACATAATCTCATGCAAATTGTATATACATTGTAATATCTAAATGTTTCATTATATTTACAAGCATAATAAAACAAACGCATAAAACATTAGACATGTTAGATATGAGAAAAGTAATATAACATGTATGATATTGAATAAAAATATTAATAAGTTATATGTTTAAAATAAGCTTAAATTAATACCCAGTTTATCCTCTAGGTCAATATGCTCGGAAATTATCACATATCGCAATTTTCGGCAAAGAAATATACATATGTTGAATGTTTTTATTCATAATCATATTACTATCAGGAATGCTCATCATTTGGTCGATACTTCATATCCAAGAAACTGTCTCGCTCTTAAGAGTTATTCATAACATTTGATAGAAATCGTGACCTCTATACGTTCACACATTTTGTTTTTTCTTATTACCGTCTTCACAACCCAAATTTGTAAAACTTTCATTAACATTGCCATTCAAACATAACTCTTCTTTTTGCTTTCCATTCATTTCATTCGACTTTGTCTTGATATCACTTTCATCTTCAGGACATTGGTTATCTTGGACAGAAATAACCCTGCTTGGTCCCATCCACGATAAAACAACAGGAAGTAACAGTAGCGCATGTGCAATACCAAATAACAGAACGAAAGCCATTACCGCAGCAAATGTTCTAAATATATAGGACTTGGCTCCAACTAAAATTAAGATACCAAGAAGAGATGATACAGCCCCGTGAAAAATCGGCGCCCCTGTTTTGTCTATAGCCTGTTTCACTCTCATATCTCTGGTCTGTCCAGTAGAAATCATATAACCGTGGCAAATATGGGCAGTAAAGTCGACGGAAAAGCCTATACTCATTATTAAGTGAATCATCGTTATGGCACTAAGAGCCACGTCTAAGTATAGAATATAGCCAAATACACCAATCATAATCATCGTTACAGCGACGGTCACAAAAGTGATCAGTATTGGATGGGGCATAAATATGCATGTTACGACAAACACAGCGGCCAGTGCAATGCCAACAGATTGAAGCGTTTGTGGTAATATAAGCACATATTGTTCAAAAGCTATAAAAGCTGGAGCAAATGAAAAACAGTCAATAGCTGCTGCGCTTGCTATTTTTCGTGATTCTAACATCATTTTACCTTCTGCTTGGCTATTTGCAAGATCGACCGAAAGAACGTAGACGCGTGACGCTGTTATCTTTTGATTGATTGTATCAATTTTGACATCATTTTCAAACATGCGGTAGTTTTGGTCAGATATAAAATTTGTTAAGCCAGTAATAAATGCAGATTCTGACGATCCATCATAGTGACTAGAAGTACTGTAAGTTTTCAACCAGTTTACTTCCCATGAATTGTCAAAATACTTATGAGATTGTGCACTAGAAATCAAGTCTGACACCATTGTTTGTGTCGCAGCGGCAGAGTATTCATATGTGCTGGGGATAACGAACGAAACGGCCGTCTGTCTTTTGAAATGCGTTTCCTTCCAGTCGGAATATTTCCAAAAATATGAATCGTCGTTTACCAACTGCGTAAAAAGTAGTCCCTGTTTAAGATTTATACATCCGTAAATAGCAGCTGCAAGGTACCCCATAAACAGAAATATAATGATGATCTTTAGAGGAAGCTTCAGCACAATCTTTGGAACGAGCCACCGCGGAAATTTGTCTACTAAACTTTCAGCTTCGTCTCTGCCTTTAGGAGCTTGCCCTCCACAACAGAAGATATACTTTTTTGATTTACCTTCCTGTAACAAATCTTCTTTTGTTTTGATTCTTCTGCACGTCATAAAGTGACGATTGTCTTCAACTCGGCGTTCATTGATAACAAGGCAAGCAGTGAAAAATGTAATATTGTTGATATAGCAAAACAAAACAGCAACACCTGAAGGTAGAAAATGTAATGTGGTCAGACGCAGGGATATTGCAACATAACGTACAAATGCATATTACATTTTCAATCCAATGTTGAAATAGAACTTTGGTTTCGGAGTCTTTCAATGCAAACAAAATAAATATTAGTGATGTCAAAGACTTTTGGGAGTTGCAAAAATCATTTTGAAATTTTTACGTTGAAGACAGTATATTTTATACAAATAATATGTTTTTGTTTTAACTTACCTGTATAGATACAGAAATGCTTTACAGCAATAAAACTTGATGCTGCACCAGACATAAAAGCAATCAGATCCGTAAGGGAGGTAATCGTTATTCCTACACCGGAAATACGTAATGTTTCCGCTATTTTGTCTTCGACGGTCTTTTGGTTTTGTGCCTCTGACAATCCCGACAATAGGATAAACATGTCGTCAATACCAATACCTAAATACAAATGTATATATAAATATTTGTCAGGACTAATTTAGGTTTTAATGCCCGTATGAGTAAGGTTGTAGCCCCAAACGACCTGCATGATACATAATCAGTGCTGTTTATTGTTTTTTAGGATAGGAATGCTGAAAAACAGGTAAATGTGTCAATAAAGAAACATACAAGTTTGAAACTCAGTATATAATAAAGTAACACACAAAGAATGTTACTGCTTCATGAAGACACATCCTTGTATTGGTCCAGCTGTCTTGCTGCATGAAATAGCTTACAAAGCAACTTAATCGTTTTAAAGACTAAGTTCTTCATTAGAATTAAAATTTCTTCTTCTTATTCAGTAAAGCATGAAGCAAAATATGATGAAAATATATAATGTTCGTTTATCATAGCATAAACGGCTTGTTTTATAGTATTCATGTGACCCGTTGTGTTATAACTATGCAATGGAAATATACGGTATCTCATAAATCAGTAAGCAGTACAAAGAAATTTAAGTGTAATGAACATGGTGGTAAGCTTTGTATTTTACCTATGACGAGAAATGGCACAACACCAACAATGCTGACAAACTCAACCCCGATCGCTGCACATAATCCAAAACTGGAGACAATAGCAAATCCAGCTGCAAGGATTCCAGCAAATCCTAGCCACATTCTCTGACCAACCTGATCTGTAAATCTGAAGATAAAAATTAGTCCGTACTTGATCTGTACTGCATTGGAACTACTAAGGTAAAGTGGCGTCTCACTCTTTTCACTAGCGAAGGAAGACCATATTTGCCCCTATGTCAATTATTTTAGGCACGAGCAAGTAGACCAATCCATAGTTCTCTTACATAACAAATATATAGTACCAAGCAGAACTCGAAGCTTAAGCGATGAGTAGTGTACTAATCTTTTAAGTTATTTTTGTTCAATGCGTAAATTATGTAAAGATGTGGAACCGATTCTGAATATGAAAGTAATTGCCCATGGATTTGTTAATTAGCACATATTTCGACTCTAATGTTTGTTGTTTGTTTCTCCGTAACAATGTGATTCAGTCAATTTGAGTAGAACGTAAACACTTAATATTTCATCCGAAAACGGTTCTCTCTTATAATTAGAATATGTTGTTATTGACAATTATAGATCAGAAACTATTTAGCTAACTGACTAAAATAAAGATAGTCACTATTTTAGCTTAAATAGTAATTCAAAAGCATTACTTAAAGATGTTGATAAAACGTTATTAAACAACTGAAAATATCTCTGCTTATAATACTCCGTATTTGTAACGTCTCCTTTCATTGGATAACCGTGACGTGACGTTTATGTTATTGCTCCGCGCCCACAGGCGCGGAGCTATTTGTGTTTACTTTTTTCTGTCCATGGGCCCGGATTTGATCAATTAATCCCTTCGATTTACAAATAAAAATAAATCCGCATTCAAGAACTCCTTTCGATTTCTATATTGGTTTCCCCTTCGGTGATTCGCAGCATGTCATATTAATGAATAAGAACCGGAAAGCAGTTCTGCTGTACATGAATTCGAAAGCTATAAATAGCTATAAATGTTCTGATTTTTGACACTTAGGTTATAAATGTGTTATTTCCCTTTTTTAGTAGCGCATGAAATTATAATTTGTTTCATTTTGAATTACATTTACACACAGCATATCAAGTATACTATTAGTGATTGAATTTGTCAATATAATGAAGATTATAGGCATAAAACTTTAATAATTTTGCTTTTGATAATTATTCTTAATTTATATTTATGAAATTAAATGTTTAATAATAACATGTTGATATATTGGTTGTTTTGAAATAATTAAACTTTAGTATATAATGTTACATTTCATTGGCGTGAATGGTTTTGCATACCACTTTGTGCCTTTAAGGGTATGACTGGTGACATGTCCGGGGGGTCCGTACTCGACAGCGAAGGCCTTACGAGCGGATGGACCCTCATTAAGCATAGGCTATAGATAGATAGCATCATTGACAACAGAAACTTTGATCTGCAGTTTGAACATGAAGTGTAATGTTTTTTATGAATGGTTTTAAAGCAATTCAACAAAAAAGTATATTGATCTCCCAATAAATCAATTAACAATAGTTTTTTTTATATATCACCAATGTCAAATAGCTTTTATATCTTTGACTCGCACGAACATGATGTTAGTGAATTTCCTCATACCTGCCTAAAATTCAGGTAACAGTCTTCTATTATATTGATGAATACTGTATCACCATGTAACGCGTGTATAACAAACAAAAAAATCCTGAATTTGGTCTTTTTGAAATTTATCCCATTTTTTCATTCCAGAGTGTGTTCTACTTTCAGTATTGAAAGAAACCATTTTTTTTAATTTGACATGAAAAAATGCATGTAATATTACTATATTATTATATTAGTCCCTTTTGTTACTATCTGTATATTTGTTACAATTATAATAATGAAAAAACAAAGTTTGATATTTTTATCATCTTATGTTACGACTACAGTAGTGACACAAACAGAACATCACATAACATTTACAACTCTTGTAAGTCTTGTTTGTATTCAATGGAAGTACTTTCCTTACCAGGTAGGAGTCAGTGAAAGCATTTTTTTATATTAAATATCCTTCCCCTCTTTTTAATTATGGACAGTGCATAAGATAAGTATAATTATGCAAAAAATGGTTTACAAAACATTCGGAAAAAATCTACAATAGTACTTAATCTGAATATAACATGACCTGTGCGTAGGAATAATTTGGTAAGGTATCTGTAATGAGCGCATTATTTGCGCGGAGCTTCTCAATTGCTGAATTGCAGCAACATTTGTACTTGTTAGTTATACAGATCTTGAAAGGTTATATGGCCTTACATAAACGGTTGTTAGGAAATATAAACCGAGCAGCAGCCGTGTAAAAATGCTATATAAGCGTCACAATTATCCAATGAAAAGCGATGTTACAAAAAAACTTTATAATACTGAAAGATTTTTTTTCAAATAACAAAAGGAATCAAACAAATTATAACCAAAATGTTTGCAGTAATATAAGCACGGGGAAAATAATGAGAATAAGAAGAGAGAAGGAAAAAAAAGACTGGTACCTGGCTGAAAGGCATGCTACACATGCGTATGTGATCATCAAAGAAATGGTAGCAGCAAATAAAGCTATGTCCCCGGATACATTCTTGTCAAGTTCCTCATCTAATGAATTATGGTGACCATATGCTATGTCTATATTACTGCTGGAGAACGATTCTAGTCTCACTCTGAATGCATCCACCTGTGTATAAAAATATGTCATAGATTCATTGTCATATCTCATAATTGTATTTATTAAAATAACAGAAGAAAAATGAGCTTAAGGTCACTTTTATTGTACCAAAATATAGCTGGAACTTTTGCTGGATGCCATTGATACCCTGTCGATATAAGTGATAGAAGTTGACTTCCGAGAGTTCAAAAGAAGAATGACCTTTTCTTTCAAAAAAATATGTAAAGAAACTGTCATTTGGGAAATGAATGACAGCTTTACAGGGTGATAGAATTAACAGATTTTAAGTGTAATATAAAAGATTAAACAAAAAATCTTAAGCTACATGATATATAAATAGGCAGATAAATACGTAGACTCTTTTCAGTAAATTATAAAAAAAAAATTATCTGTACTTAATTTATTAAAATATCTAAATAAATACAGAAATCCGACAGAGCAGCAGCATGGCTTCGTGTAATATATTCGTAGTGCACAGACGAATACAATTCACATCATATTCACGTTGCCAAGAAAGTAATTTCGAGCCGTTTCAAATTAACGATTTTTTAATCATTTCATATCTAGAGTTTATGTCTGTGTCTGAAAATCACTGTAAAGAATGTCTACTTTTTGTGATAAAAAGTGATACAACTTAAGCTTTCATTACATGATAAAGTGGCCGGAAGTAAATGGTGTTTGTAATCATAAGAACCTTACACATTAAAAGTGAATTATGTCCATCCAAGAGTAGAAAGTGAGTGAACAGGTACATTTTGCCATAATTGCTTTCAATGTTATAATTTACTTGCATGAATGATGAATAACTCACGTTAGGTAAGGAAAATTACTGTAAATACCCGTCTGCATTTACCTGTAATTTTGAGGCTATAAAAAGAGTGGGCAAGTCTTTTTTTTTATATTTTAGACAAATTTATATTTTATCCAAAACGTATTCAAATACAACTTTCAGTCACAGCCTTTAGAAATGTATAGTCAATTCAGCTCAACTTGACAGTGGGTATATGAGCATAATGTCACTTGAAATGTATAAGCACGTTGAAATCATATACCGATGTGATACACATGTACTAGCTCAAGGGAAGTAAGAATGAGAAAACTAAAATTTAAGTTATACCCATTTATCCCCCTTCTTCTTATACTGGTCACCATCCGTGCGTATGTTGAACACAATCGTTAGGTAGATTACTTTCGTAAGGTACTGACCTGTGCCGTCAAAACTTAAACTTCCTGAAAAACAACAACAGGCTTGTTTCACTTTTCGGTTTTCACAGTGATTGCAACATCTTATGTTTTCTGCATTGTAATTCATGCGGAGTTTGCATCTGCATGGTCGGGGTCGTTTTGTGTTTTAAATTAGCTTTGAAAGAAATACACTTTCCACTGCAATTCCCCGACTTCCTCTCAAAATAACTTTATTTTTATACAGAACATTTACTGATTAAGCAATTGAAATTTTCACAAGATTGATATTCGTTGTAGGCAATCACGAGAAAACTAGCAGCTCCGGACACATTTTTATAAAGATAAGTTTTAATCTTTAGCTCTAAATGTTAACATAGTAACATTCAGGCTAATTTAAAACAATATGTCTAGTGAACGGTTTGAAAAAGATATGTTTTAAATATCTTTATACATAATCATCATAGTTTAACAAGTTTTAGTCTTACCTCCTACATCACGAGCATAATTCTGCGTTCCCTTTGTTGTTGAGTTGAATTCTGGGTACGTGACAACGTTATTGTCCACGGCCGTGAGAAAGTCCGGGTCCCAAAATAGTTCTCCGCCTAACGAACATTGTGAATTACTAATGGCGCAAACATCTGAAAACTGTAGCAGATTTTTTTGTTTACAGCCGCACTAGTATAGAGAAACGTTTGCTGGACTTGTTCCATAAAAGATAAAACTTGATTATGGGGGGGGGGTTGGGGTTACAACAACACAATATTAGTCACATGGCGACTTTCCATCTGTACTGGTGAAGAAAGACCTCAGGTCCTCAGGTGCCACTCCTTGAATTATTTCAAGCCCGATCAAGCATTCGAGTTTAACCACCGGATTCCGTGCGCTAGCTGGAATAGCTTCTTCACAGTCATGTTAGAATCCAAACTTCACTTGCGGATTTGAACACACAGCGGTGAGGGACAAATGGTTGGAAGTCAAACACTTTAACACTAAGCCACATATGCCTCGAAACGTAAGATAAGGATATAAATGAAACATGTAAAATATTGTTAATCATAAAACATATTTTCTTACCTTAAATGAATGAAGTTTTAATGTTTATATAAGCATGACGACTTTTTTAGACAAGGTCTAATGGAAAATGACAGAGAGTAGCTTGATGATGAATATGCCAAAAGGCACACCTGAACAAATTAAAGGAAGTACAAGGTATTAAGATATGTAAATGTCTTTAAACTGACTGGCGGTTCAAACCACAGGAACTTCAACTTTTTTTTCTTTTTCATTCATCTTATATTGAATTATAAACAAAATTAGCATTACATTTATTGTTGAACCATCACTATCCGTGGTCACGATATTTTGAATAAGTTCCGACAATGCTTTTATTTCCTCCAATACTGGTCTGTTCAGAAGGTTACTAGTTTTCGATTTCACAATTATCCCCGCAAAATATTGTCTGGGTACAGTCACGTGCAAGGAATTATAGTTTGAGCCACTGAGATCTGGGAAAATACTCTCCACTCTATCTTTGTCCTTGCGTGCTTGAGTTCCTGAAACAAAAGCCACTTTGTTTCTATAAGTTTTGATAACAATACTATTGTAAAAAAGAGTCAGGATAGATTCCTCAAAGTTTAGTGTAATATTTGAAGGTGTGTGGAAAAAAGTAAATCAGCTTTTCTACAGGTGATTTTTACATAAAATCGTTTCATAAAATCGTTTCATATCATTGTTTAATTTAACCTTTTACCCCACGAGCATATTGTGAAAAATGGCCGTTTTTATAAAGCCTCCTGTTACAAGTTCAAACTGCTATGAAGCTATGAAAAATGATTCAATTCTTATGAAACTTGGCACAATTGTTGACATGATCATAGCCTCTGTAACAGCATGCTCAATCGTAAATGTTTTTGTTACCATGGCAACGGGGGACGTTTCAAAATTGCAAAAAATCAATATTTTGCATTGTTTTTTTTTCCCCCCATCAAAACTGATTTCAAATTGACTAGTTCCCCTAAGATCGACCTGTTGATAGTATTCAGTTTCATACAGGATGATAAACCATGAACGAGTTATATATTGATACTGTTGATTAGTATTTGATACATGATCCGGAATGACATATACATATAGCAGATAATAAAATGAGCCGTGTCATGACAAAATCAACATAATGGGTTTGCGACCAGCATGGATCCAGACCAGCCTGCGCATCCGCGCAGTCTGATCAGGATCCATGCTGTTCGCTAACAAAGCCTATTACAAGTAGAGAAACTGATAGCGAACAGCATGGATCCTGATCAGACTGCGCGGATGCGCAGGCTGGTCTGGATCCATGCTGGTCGCAAACCAATTATGTTTGTTTTGTCATGACGCGGCTCGAATTGTATTGCACCAGCATGTTTAGTTTCAATATGGCTGTCAATGGATTGAAAATTTAAATCAGCGTTCCAACCAATATAGAAGTGTTTTTGAAGGTGAAGAAAGAAAAGAATATGTTTCATTGCATTGCACATACTTTGATATGAAATTCTTTACTTTTATAAATTTGATACAATCCTTTTAGACGTTGAAAAAAAGTCATGATAATATAAAATGTAAAATGACACAATGATAAATATAAAATGTTAAATAACTTTTTTCATGGCTAATTATTTGGACTAAGGTCATATAATGACATTCCAGCTTGACTGGTGGATAGGAATTTCAGCTACACTTCCGTGCAATTTACGTAAGTTAAACCACCGACGTTCCGTACGCTAGCTAGATACCTTCCTCACACGTTCATAGCTGGATTCAAATTTACAGCGGTGAGAGGAAAGTGGTTAGAGGTGAACGACTCTTGTACTCTAGACTATGGTGGCTGATTTTGTACACTTTTGTGCGTCTAGTTGGCGCTAGCGACAACACGACAAAGCGCCAAACGGCGCGTTGTCGGACTTTCGTCTTGTCGTCCTGTCGCTAGCGACAACACGCCAAAGCGCCAAACGGCGCTTTGTTGGACTATCGTCTTGTCGTCCTGTCGCTAGCGACAACACGCCAAGCGGCGCGTGGTCGTGCTGTCGTCTTGTCGTCCTGTCTCTAGCGCGGCACGCCAAACAGCGCGTTGTCGTGCGGCGTGTTGTTGCGATGTCACATTGTCGCTCGGCTCAAATCGACGGATTGGCGACACAGCGACAAGCCGACAACGCGCCGCACAAAACGCGCCGTTTGGTGTGTTTCGCTAGCGACAGAACAACAAGAGGACAGTGCTTTTCGCTAGCGACAAGACAAAAGGCGATAACGATATAGGTTGTGTTGTCGCTATCGACAACGCAACGCGCAAAGTGTACCAAAGCAGCCACCATACTTGAGTGTTATATGAAATCGATTCAACAGGTACCTTGCGGCAGATACACGTCACCAGCGTCTGTGTTAGATTGAAGTTTCATCATTCCAATACCAAGCGCTCCATTGATAATGATCGTGGCAACGATAATTTTCCAGGCATGATGGGAAACAAAACGGCCATATTTCGCAAAGACGCTCCCAATCTTCCGCTCAACTGTCTCATATATAGTATTACATCTCATTCTTCTGAAAATATTTTTCATTTAGTGTTATTATACCTACAAAATATTGACAAGTATTTATTTTCATGATTAATGCTGGTACATTTATTAATTAAAATTACTTTGATTTTTTTGTAATTTGTTACTTGATTTACTTTCCTTGCTTTGTTAATTTTAATTAAATTAACCAATTTTTACTTTAAAGAAAAAGTAATTAACCTTATAATTGATTTACATTCTCATGATTAACCCCTTTAAACAAAATGTTTCTTAATTTGCTTTTAATTTAATATATATGTAAAATTTAAAAAATAGATGCAAAAAAGTACAAGTTCATGCTAATAAATTTCAAGAAAATATCGCGTAGATGCATGGGGAAGCTATGAGTTGATGCTGCTTTAACAATGTGTCACTCATATTGTCCGCCTCATTTATGTCTTAAAATCATACAGAAACTAAGAATGTTATGTAAACTTCGATGTTTCCACGACTCCTCGACCCTGTTCCTACCTCAAATAGGAAGTGCAAATGCATATTGGTGACTTTTTACAAATGATTGTATTGGATAATTAAATTTAAGTACATTTCAGACGCAATTTCAGCTGAAAACAACCTAAATTGTTCTTTAAACAATATACTTTATAAGCTCATTCTGGAGTAAAATATTTAAATCACAGAAATTTATTGAAATCTATAAAATTCTTACTGAATATGACTACTTCGAAGGAAAAATGAATAAACTATGTATGGTATGGCATGTTAAACGTTGCAAAATTCAATAACTCTATTCTGGTCTATATCCAATATTTATATTGCATAACTCTAATTTCATATTCTATACCATAACATTTTTCAAGCCTTATGAATATTTGTTCATCATAAAATATTTGTGTGCGATAATTTTCTATATATATGTTCTATATTTGAAAATATATATTGTATAATTAAAAATATTCATTGTATACTGAAAAATATTGATTTGATATTTTGAATCACACTTAACATATAAAGCAATTCGTGCTAAATTTATAGGCGGGGTTTAATATGCTAAGTGTGATTCTATCCCATGATTCAAATTATCGAATATTTAATTATAAAATATATATTTTCAAATATAGAACATACATATAGAAAATTATCGCACACAAATATTTCTATGATGAACAAATATTCAGTAGGATTGAACAAATATTATGATATATATATAGAAAATTATCGCACACAAATATTTTTATGATCAACAAATATTCAGTAGGATTGAACAAATATTATGATAATGAATATAAATTAGAGGTAAACAATATAAACAAAAAAATAGATCTATTGAATTTTGCAACGTATAACATGCCATAACCACCTATAGTGTGCATAACATATCTTCTTGCATATTTATCTTATATTTAAAGTGACATTACGCCCATCCAAGGGTAAATAGTGAGTGAACGGGTGAAAGTCAAATAAGTTTTCATTTTACCATAATTCCTTTTAATTTAATAATTAAGTTCGCATAGACAATAAATAACTTACAGATCCGAACGAAATTTCTGTTAATATCCATTAGGATTTAACTATAACGCTTAGTTTATAAAAAGAAAGGGGCAGTCTTTTTAAATTTTAGACAGATTTATAATTTTATCCTAAACATTTTCCAATATCAACTATTGGTCAAACACTATTTTGACAGTCAATCTTTTCAAATATAAAGTCAATTCAGCTCCACTTTACCATGAAACTATGAGCATAATGTCACTTAAACTGTGTAGCAATTATCAATATTTTCTATTATCAGCAATAATCAATATTTTCTATTATCAAATTTAAACAAAGTATAGCTTTACTTAAGCACGTGAAAGGGAAATCTAAAGAACATAAAAACATTATTCACATAAATTAATGCTAGTAAAACAATACCTGTCGAGTATTCTGCTGGTTATAACATGTATTTATTTATTCCTCTTTCAATACATATTTCAATAACTGATTCCCTTCTCTGTGAACAAATTCATACTGAATGAATCAAGAATTCCGTACGCAATTTTAGGAGTCGAATAACTTGAAAACGAGAAGCATATTCATGTAATAAAATTTATGTTATATCATAACCTTATACAGTATAAGAAATCCAGGACACTATTCAGTGCACGTGTACTTTCAATCATGACGTGTTTATGCGATCAATACATGCCCGGCAGAGAATAATAGCAGTGCTTGATTAATTATTTATACATATAATCTATGTTCAATCTGTCAGATAAAAAGATTAGTTCTACCGTGGCCTTAATTAAAGCGAATATGTATTTGATTATTCAATTTTTAGTTGTACATTAATTTTGTAAAATAACCGTTCATCTCATATCACTGGTTGACTTTTTATTCTACAAAAACAATTCGCCGCCACATCCAATATGTGCAACATATTATGTGAATAGAAAAAGTAAATTCAATAGTCATTGTAACAGAATTTTTTTATTGAAACTAAAAAGGAAAAAAGAAACAATACATCATGAAATAAGTTTAAGAAGAAGAATTCAAACCGTTAAACTTTCCAACGTTATTATTTCTAGGGTGTTAGTTCAAGAGATAGTGGTCTTGTAGACTGCCTTCCGCTCTTTGGTAACTCTTTGCATCCGCGGACTGCGCAAGTCGCTGCCGAGGACTTCGGACTGATTGCCAGGAAGCACCACCACGAGCTACAACCTCAGCAATTAGGATCCCATGAACCAGCATGTGCACGGCCAATTGGAGAATTTTCAGATTTTTTTTACTGTTGAAAAGCTTATGTTCAGTTGGTATACTTTATTTATATTTTTGATTGGAAATAATTGATGTTATTCGCGCGGAAGGACATACCTCATTCCCTAACTGCATGTCAAACTCGAAGTTTATGTTGAATAAAAACCAACGCATATTATGAATTAATTTAAACCTCACACATTAACAGTTACTGTTTATTTCTAATGTAATAATATATAGGGGTCTTAAGTAAGCTTTTTGAATTGCCATTGACTATTTACGTTTTTTATGAAAAATCAACTATGACCAATTTTAATCAATGTAAATGTCACGAACACAGCACATTTATTACAATCATTTATATTTAACAAAGCACTTTAAAAACAGGTTAACATGCAGAGGGTGTAATATTATACCATTGTATAATGTATACGGTAGTTATATCGGGTAGGGAATGGGTCGCGCTTAAATGTTTTTTTAAGTGCACAAATAAAATTATGGTGGCTGATTTGTGCCATTCGTATTTTCGCCCCGGGACCCCGCAAAGCGAAAAGTCAGGTATAGCCCTGCTTTAAGTGATTCAATTATCTGTTCCCTGTTGCCCGTAAGTGCCACACTATATCCATCGTCGGCAGGGTGCAATCCTCTAAACGAAACTTTACATTTCTTGTCGTATAGTTTTAGTTAATAAGTAGATAAAATTATAATAAGTTCCTTATAACTCAATATAATATTAAAAAACACTGGAAATATTACAACAAATAACATAAATGTGCTCATCTTTTCTTTGGGATAATTTGTATCAATGGAAATATATGTGCGTATTACACACTATAGATGCTAAAATAATTATCTTGTGACGCAAGAAGAAGACTGCCTGGATGTGAGGTGGATACATATATCTGGTCTCCGGTCACAAGTTTGAAAACAGCACCGATAAAACTTGTACATTCAGAAATGTCTGAAGCAACTGCACAAAATGATTTTTCTCCTTCTAACAGAACTTGCTCGTTTATATCTTCTGATATTCTGTAAATGAAATGTTTAAAATTTGCGCCCGAAACACCTGCTGTGCCATTTATGGAGTAGTGTTTTGACTTGAGTTGTGATGAAATGTAGAAATACCCACTCGTTTCTATGTGTATTGTTCCATCGTCTGTCAGATATTTCAGCCTAGGACAAGAAAACGATGGGTAGGTACTATTCCAAATTAGCCTCGAAGAAACGTTCATTTGATCTACAAAATAAATGACATATAGAATAGTGGAATATGCAGTCATCTATTCCAATGTGGCCATACCACGTGACTTTTCGGGTACGGAACACGCCGATTTTTCTCCCGATTCAGGTATTTTTTTTATTCATAACTTATTTATTACTCAATCGATTTTGATGAGATAAGGCGCAGAGTACCCGTAATTATATCAGTTATCCACGGTATATCAAAATTCTGAAAACCCCTGAATGGTTTTTGAGAACATTCGAGTACAGTTTTCTTTTCATAGCCTGGGCCGAGGGGAACGGTACACACTCATTTGGCATAACAGGCGATTTCTAGCAAGTCATATGTTTTTTGACACTATTTCATAGAAAAATACATGTTAAATCTGATATATTTACTATGTCCAACTTATTGAGTGAATGCAGTGATGTTTTAGCATATTTTCATAAAGTTATGTTTAAGTGATACGGAACACACTGCTAATTCAAAAGATACGGTACACACACAATTTCTGTCTTTGAAACAATTCTAAAATAAAATATATAAAAAAATTAATTTAAATTATAATGTGACTGATTTTTTTCATAGTTATACATTTTATTAATTTAAACGAGAACCCTGGGACCTGTTTTGCAAAGTAGCATTATGCCTACAGTTTGATGTAAACAGGATTATTCAAAACATAAAAGAACATTTTGAGAGTACGTTGCGCAAAATTTGATTTTATATGTTGAGCAACTATAAAATGTTAAAATTTTATGGAAGACATTCAAAATTTTGTTTTGTTTTGATTTTCATTTGAAACAATTAGGTATATTCTTTTGGATTATAAAACGAATTATGAAATTCATGGACATCTGTTATGTTTTTATGTGTTATGTGTTATGTTTTTTCGAATATATAATGACTGTCTAAACGTAGTATGAATATATAAACAACAAGAAGTTAGGAGTAAGTTGGAAATATATGTTCCTTGCAAAATGTTGTTTAAATAATCGAATTTGGAGAAAAAACGCTGGTTTTGATATAAGTGGATTTTTTTTAAATCACGGAAAGTTTAAAGTTTTTTTCGGCCACATGATATTTGGTATGAATCATCTGCCAGGGTCCCAAACTAACTGCATGTATCTAAATTATCAAATTATCTACATATGGACAAATATATTTCGCAGTTTAACGTGCAATCAAAATTAAAATTTGATAATTTGAAGAACCCATATGGGAACAAGGCCTGTTATATAACGTAACGTAGTTTATACAAGGTAACCTTGTTGCATATACATGTAAGGATATACATGTTAGGAAATTTGGTAAAATGATGCTTATCTTGGACTTTCATTTCAAGATGCATTTAACACTTGAGTTCATGGATATGTGTGCTTGCGTGTTTGTGTTAAAAATAAAATGATATTTTGATAATACCAATTTTGTCAATCAAATGCTATGGATTTTGGAGGCTGCGTTCTGTTTTATATACTACATGAAGTAGGTACGAGACCACAAGTGACTTCGATGTTTCGATTTTTTATGTGAGAAAGTTTTCTTACTACCGTACAGAATGTCGATCGTTTTACTCAGGTGCCCGTTCGTTCCTTTATTTATACCCAAAGGGGCACTTGTAAAACTCGAAAGTCGCCACATGGTAATATCAGATTTATGAGCCGTGAAACCAAACCAAAAATGACCTAATTACATGAATTAAAAGTTATTTTTAAAGCTTCATGCCTTTAAACATTAAAAATTTAAGCAATGGCGACTACATTTTTATTTGTTTGGGTCGTCAGACCAAACAAATAATGGTAGCGAAATTTCAGGCTCTGATTAATTAAAAATGACCATGATATTGCAAAATTGTACCTAATGACTTGCTTATTATTAACAAAATATAAATATATATAAATTGTTATCAAGTAATGATACTTTTCAGCGATTAAGGTCATGACCTTGTTTTATTTTTTCAGGATGAAGCAAAAAGACATTTCTTACTTCACTTAAACTAAAAGAAATAAAAAATAACAATAAACAACAATAAACACTGCATTATATAACATTTTATTTCTATATAGCGCAACTACCTGATTCTGTGAAGATCGAAGTGTTTAACATACCCTAGGTGATTTTAAATAGGACAATTACATGGAGGTTGTAAATGTTAAGCTGATCTCTTGAAATATAGTGCACAAATACATATAAACATTAAAAGTAAGCATTATGATACATTGCAAAACAGGTCCCTGGGTTCTGTTTTAGATTAATAAAATGTATAACTATGAAAAAAATCACTCACATTATAATTGAAATTAAATTTTAATATATTTTATTTTAGAATTATTACAAAGACATAAATTGTGTGTGTACCGTATCTTTTGAAATAACAGTGTGTTCCGTACCATTTCAACATAACTTTATAAAAATATGCTAAAACATCACTGCATTCACTCGATACATTGGACATAGTAAATATATCAGATTTAACATGTATTTTTCTATGAAATAGTGTCAAAAAACATATGACTTGCTAGAAATTGCTTGTTATGACAAATGAGTGTGTACCGTTCCCCTCGGCCCAGGCTATGAAAAGAAAACTGTACTCGAATGTTCTCAAAAACCATTCAGGGGTTTTCAGAATTTTGATATACCATGGATAGCTGATATAATTACGGGTACTCTGCGCCTTATCTCATCAAAATCGGTTGAGTAATAAATAAGTTGTGAATAAAAAACATACCTGAATCGGATGAAAAATCGGCGTGTTCCGTACCCGAAAAGTCACGTGGTATGGCCACATTGTATTCAATGTTAGAGTATTTGATTAGGATCAGGCGGGGCGTTCCTCTGAACGTTACTTTACCTTTTTCGTCATATAGCTTTAGTTTAGTTTAGACTGCAAACAATCTTTAAATATGATTTTTCATGATTGAGCGCAAAAATACTATTTCATTCAATAGCACGTTCGTAACTTATCCTTATTTCAAGAAACCCATTTTATTTTATTCAATAATAAACTGATTAATTCTACAAAAATTAATTTTAGTTAACTTGAGTAAGTTTTCAGATTACCAGCCAAACATTTTTCAATTTTGATAATTAAAAAGTATGTCTTCAAATTTGAAAGGATATTATCATATCATTATTGAATATAAATCAATTTTGCGTGTGCCTCACATAATTGACAATAAATCAATAAATTGCCATAGATTACCTTGTTGATTATCACCCGAAATACCTACAAGATTTGCTTCCAGCTGTACTGTCTTCTTTTCGGAACAGTTAAATGCCGTGATATCAAGTGATGCAATTTCTACATAAATGATACACCATTAAATATTTAGTTTTCTACATTAATTAGTACACAAGCGGAAGTTCGGTTTACTTCTCTCCGAAAGGTTTTATATAATGATGGGAATGAAGTTTTCATATTAATTATCAAATGAAATTTTGATTTATTTTCAAAATTATTTTAAGGCATCATCTTTAAAAATAAAATAGATCATTATTGGTAACTGTTTGTATCAAACAAAGTGGTGCATGTACTGTAAGTAAGTATAGTATTACTTACCAGGAAAAGCATCGTCATCATACTTGTCGTTAACAATCTGTAAATAAAATTGAAATACAAAGTATATGGCATATCTAATGCTGTTTAAATGCAAAACATATGAATTTAAGAATATTTCATCATGTCAGATAATAATGCTGTTGTTTATGTACCTTTGCGGAAACTTTTTTTAAGAGAATGCTCATAGATCCACAACATAATTTTGTTTCTTCTGTTTTGTTGACCTTCTCCTTAAGTCCGTCTGGACAATGGTAGTTATCATCTTCAACAGATCCTATGAAAAGTGTTCTCAACGGGAGACACATGTTGGATTCATTTAGAGCCATTTTGGCCGACTTTAACTGTCGCCAATGACCGGTAATTGACGACAACGATATCATTTCAGAGACGGTTGTAAAAATAAGGAGAGTCAGACATGTTTTCTGAAATAAAAAATGAGTGATGTATGTGACAGTAAAGTTGATTCAGCTAATTGCATAAGTAGGCTTTGTCGAAAACAGTTTGTACTATGCCTTTGGAATGTACGTTTGGACTTTTTTAACATGGCGTTACATTATGTTCTTGTCAATTATGAAATACGTATGACATTGCCAATTCTATCAATATTTTCAAGTCATGTGTTTGGAAATTTTTCCTATTTAAAAGAAAATATCAAATAAGCTCTATAACTAACGTCTAAACATATACAATAGTACATCAGCAATGAATGAGCATATCAGCGTGCAAAAAAGCCAAATATTATAATTTGTTATTAATTGATTTTTAACTACAGGCATTATATGATAACAAAACAAATCCGTATCCGTGTTCAAAATACAATTACGGGTTACATTCTGAACTCGAGAGGGCATTCTTGAAATATTCTTTTACAATTCAATGATTACCTAATGTGATCAATATCATTTGCTTTTATGTCAATCCAAAGTATGGAATATATTTTCCTCCATTTTCTTTATCAACGAAAGCCGAATTTTCACATTGTTATGTTGTTAAAGTTATGTCAAATTCGGAAACTAAACGGGTAAAAAAATAATTTGATAATTCATACAGCAATATGAAATGTAGTCTATAAATACACCGAAATTCTTTCGCTGATAAAATTTATTATTTTGTAATAAATTGTTAAACTGGGTGATTATCTAAGGTAGTTTCCCTAAACACTTTTTGAATGTATTCAACATAATTTGATTAGTCAATATTTGAGGTACTTCTGTATGTGTTCAAAAGCCATATTCCTGGATATTGTGAAGAGGGTTTCAACGTAAGATAAATGGTAACAAGTTGATGATCATGGTGAATCATTGTTGAGATGCACGGGGAGATTTTAACAATAGAAAAAAATGACTCAAAATTGCATAGGTTACAATGACATAGTGAGTTTAAAACCACATGACAGTATCACACGTATGGTAAAAACATCAATAGCTTTATTCCTTAAAGGCTTGTCAAATACATGTATAACCGACTAAAGGACTACCTGTATGACATCAAATAGAAATAGGGAAAAAAGGGGCGATGCAGGGAGGTGTTTTAAGAAATAATATCGTTTTCACTGGTATTTATCGGCTATTTATTACCGGTGAGGGTTAATGTTTATGAATTGACCACGAAGGCCGTATGCCTAAGCGGTTATTATTTTGCATCGACACGACAAGACACCGCTGAAACTGATATTATTTCGGTCTAACAAGTGAGAACAAGTAAAATGGTTTCCTGCGGGGAACATTTTTAATGATATAAAGATATTTCATTGAACTATTTTCATCATTGTTTGTGGGGGGGATAAATAAACGTTTGTATCAGGAATATAGTTGACAATAATCGATCAATATAGAAGAAGGTCTTTGGAAACTGGTGACCATTGAAGCCCGGAGAAGGTCGAACATAAAACAATTATTTGTTTTTAATAAAATGATTAAACAGGTCTGCCATTTTATGAATAATTCCTGGGACATACGACATATCGTATGTCCCAGATAATTCCGAGCAAACAAAGAATAAAGTACGAACACAAGTTTACGCATAAAATATATCTCTATTTATTATGGCATATGCCACTACGAATATTTTAATTTTGTAGATTTTCAGTATGAACAATTTATTGTTTTTAAAATTTGAGATAGATTTTAAAGATACATTGATCATTTTCAAACACATCATTCAAGTTTTTCCACCTTAAACGGTAAAATAATTATAGAAAATTAGAAATATCACGTAATAGTTGTTTGTTCTTAATTAGGTGTAATTCGGACAATTCCCTTAGAGGTAAATCCGTAACGTACCGGCAAACGGTATTTAGCTAGGTTTTCTAAAAGGTCAATTAACCAATCATGTACGGTTTACAGATCACATGCTCCTCCATGTACCGAAAACAAGTCACGTGCTCCTCCATGCCTCAAAAGTTAAACGCGTACCAATACCCTGCGGTCTCCAGACCGCAGGGAATAAGAAAGATCACTAACATTATTTTTCAAGCGGAGATCGTTTCCGCTGTTGATTTTCGTATAACGCTGTTCTATTTTCCACCTTATTGTTGCTAATGTATAAGGATATTATAGATCTACAAAAATGGTTTACAATATCATTCAAGTTTTAAATATTTTAAGTTTACGTTTCAGACTGTTTTGATTATATTAAGTTAAACCACTACTTGACTAATCATCCTTCAAACCCCACCAATGTAAGTTTATATTGACGTTATTCTCGTGCCTTTTATGAATGAGTTGTATTCTTAGGATGACGTCATTACGTTGCTTACGAACTTGTCGAATTTTCCTTATAAATTTATCAACTGATAAGGATGAAACCTGCGGCGTTTGTATATTCGAGATGTTATCTTAGCACCATGTGCAAAAAAATTAAATGAACGGAAAATATAAAGAAAATGCGTTATTGTTGTAACGTTAAAATCATTGTAAACTATCTTACCGCAGAGGGGAAAAAGCGGCATATTCATGTATAACGTAGACCCTACAAAGAAACAACAAAATATATTGTCATGTAACCATTTAAAAATTGAAAAAAAGTTTACCTGAAATGTGTTATGTGATCTATCTTCCCTATTTGATTTGTTTGATTCCATTATAATCAGTAAACTAAACACACTAAACACGCAAAAGATTACACTGGATATTTAACGGTAAGAAGAAAAAAACATATTATTTTTCGATCAATAAATCAACTAGTTATAAACCTGGAAGTTTATTCATGGTTATTTTTGGATTATTTAACTATAATACTTATATTTTAACATTGTCCGCGATTGACTTAAAAACGATCAAGGAAAACCGTAAGATTCAATGAGACATTAGGTGACTGGATACGAATGGAATGCTGTTAAGTGTGAAAACTAATTAAGAAACCAACACTATATTGTTCTCTTAAAAAAACAAAATATTTCATCCATTTCAATGTTTTCCAAACCCTATATAACAAAATCATTTGTATGTGTCAGACAATTTATTCTCCTAAATTTCTAACCTCTTTAGCACGATAAATCAATTGTAGGTAAGATTAAGGATCATTTATCATGATGAAAGCCGATGGGGAAAACAATACTAGATTCTGACCTAAACTATGTCTAGGGGAGCGGTGGCCTAGTGGTTAAGGTGTCTGCCTCTCAACCCAGAGACCATGGGTTCGAGCCCTACTCGGGTCACGACCATGTTTCTCCATATGACACCAGTACTGGTTGGTTCCAGGAAGCGGACTCGAAAGTGATTAATATAAGTTGCAAGAACTTGTTTCGCAATCGAGCTTAAATAAATATGTTTAAACCAAACTATGTTGTACTGCCGCACCGCAGGGCGCCAGGCGAATACATGAAGAAAAGTGAGTTTTTCGTATTTTCGCTCCGCGAGGCGCCAGGCGAGGACTGTCAGTCTTCGGATCCATAAAGAACACTATAAAATGAATACACAGAAGGGATATGGTCTTAGCTAAACATTAAATCAAATAGTATTTGAAATTCTTGCATTAATTTTGTTGATTTAGTATATTCCATTTTATCGTTATAAAGTCCACCTAACTTAAGTAAATTTATAGAAATAAAAGAAACTGTCCTTTTTATAAAATTTATAAACTGAAAGTGCTTAACTGTGGATGATATTTCGGATTTGTCTATGAATGTATGTCAATTATTTACATTCTGATTGTCAAACGTATTTTTAAATCATAATTTTACCTTGACTATGACTTAAAACCAAAACCGAATTAATGTCAACAAGTTTTCATTATGTACGAGGTATGTCGCAGAAGGAAAAAGACTTTGACCATTACTGCTTTTTCTTCAGTTACTCTGTCAATATTTCTGCTTGAATATAGTTTAATATGTTTAGCATTCTTACAACATCGAAATTCCTTTATTTCTACTTAAACATTCGAAGCGTTTACAAATTATAAATTCGGAGCGTTTACAAATTAACATATGTGACGGGCGGCGCATGAAATACTATATGAAAAAATTGCCCCCTTATTACAAGAACGTAATAACTGCAAGTTTTTGCCCGCGAAATTTCGACTGCATACAGCGTGACGTTACATTGTCATTTCCTGTTTATTAGGATTTCTTAATATTATCTATGCTTTTATGTTGACACATTTCAGAAATGGGTTGCACGCCCCAGGAAGTATGTTTGCACCGATGAAGACTACGTAGAGGAACCTAGGTAAGCGATGTCATTTATGATAATTACTCTTGAACGGGAACTAAAGTAGCTCATGTTAAGTAAGGTTATCATGTTAATGTTTGACGAGGCATTGATAATAAAGGCTGTTGTCTTCAAAGTTGTAATACAGTAAGCTTAACAAGTTCTGGAATGGCAATGTTTAAGATAAAACTATTATGAATTTGATTTGTTAAACTTTATTTCATTAATTCTTTGTAGTATAGTTAATAAAAAAACAACACAAAAACGATTTGAGCTGTAAAAATACAAAGAAACATTCAATAAATTTAAACTACTGTTTCTGATAAGATATGTTTTATTTAGTATTCTGGTAAGGGAGAAATGAAACAAATATATGGTTTTAGGTTTA